TAAAATTCATTAAAAAAAAAAAAGAAACAGTAACTAATAACATTATTAATAAAAATGATAATAAAAGCACTATGTAACCAAAATTTTTGTCTTGTATTCAGGGCATTATATTTCAACTGCTTACTTCTAAAGAATGTAAAAAAACAACTGCTTTGACAAGGTCTTCGCCAGCCCAATGTCACTGCGTATATCAAGGAATTCCTAATGGGTTTAAAATTCCCAAAATTCAATGACCTTTTTTTTGAACTAGTGGGACGATTTCAAACACCCTGATTGATAACAAACTTTAATTATATGATCACAGCACAATGAAAAATTTTATAAAAATAAAACAAGACAAGTTTTACATTTTTATTAAATAAAACAATATTTGGATATTGAAAAGAAGAAGATTAATAATCATTCAAAATGCTTAAAAAATGAGATTTTCTAGATTTGCAAGTAACTTTTTTCACAAAGTAGTCCCCAAATGTAGTCTTTTTTGTGCAAAATATAATTATTATTATTATTTTTTTTTTTATCTTGATAGCAACATTCAACATTTAATATACCTTGAAATAATAAAAACACTTCCTTGCTTCTTCTCTTCCTTGCTCCTCAGAGTAGGCTCCCATATTCTCCTCTGAGTAAGATCCCATATTCTCATTGCATTTATTTAGATGAACCTCAACAATATGAAGTACAAGTGACATTCAGCATCTCGCTTTAGCAAAATTCTTTATAAGACTCTAAACTAACCACTTAGCATGATGATTATCCAGGAAACCAAGAGCAACTACAACAAAATCAGAAACAGCTACAACAAAACAAGGAACAACTACAAAAAAACTATTCTATATTGTTCAGGAGTTTAACAAACTCCATGATCAATGTAATCAAACTTTCAATGATCAATGTAGTCAAACTTTCAATGATCTCGTTCCATGAACTTTTTGATCTGTGATTTAACAAAGATACCAACTTTAGACTTTGACAACTTTGGAAAAAGATCATAGAGGTACTTAAAAAATGCTGACTCCTCATCAAGTGCAGTGACAAATTGTTTTATGAGGCCTAACTTTATGTGCAGTGGTAGTGCTCTTTGAATACAACTTGTTATTTCTTTATTTTTGTTATTTATTCTATAAAATTTATTTTGTTCTTTATTCACCAACAGCATAAAATTGAAATGTTGGTTTAAATCATTTATGTCTTCATGATTTTTGAACAGCTGGAGAACGAACTAGAAAATTAAAACTAATAAAAGAACGCATCTTGTCTGTAAAGTAGTTAATGATTGTGATATAAAACAATGGCTTCTTGTTCCTGGAACTGCTGAAAAAGTAGCACAACGTTTATCTAATTTAAACTTTATGCAATGTAATGCAATTGCATCATTTGAAATGTTTTGAAAATGCATTCTTTTGATATTTTGTCTACATCAAACTTTTTTCTCAGGTGAATTGACAAGATCTGTTAGTGATTGTAAACTGGACTCTGCTACAAGTCTTTTGACAGAGCCTCCAATGCCATCATAAGTACCCTTTCCATACCATGCAGCAACAATTGTCATTCTGCAGATACCTTATGATCTTGTTCATGGTGACATAAGTTGGATATGTTTTTATAATTTTTGCATTATGAACCTGCATCATCACTAACACATGCAATGGGTAAGGCATCAACTTTTTACAATTTTTTATTACTTCATAAATAAAACAATGAACTGAGTTTGTATTGTGATGCAAAATCATCTAAGATGATACAAACCCTTTTACATTTTATCTTACTTTCTCCCAGATAGTAAATATTAAACAGATACAATGTTTCTTGACTGCTGTTTTAACAGAAACCTTGTGCTACATTTTGAATTAAAAAACATTCTCAGCAAAATCTAACAATACTATAATATAATTACTTTGTAAGGTAACTTGGTACTTAGTGGTAAGCTAACTTGGTAATTAGTTGGTAGGGCTATTTAAAAACTGAGTTTAATTCAGGCTTAATTTAAAACATTTAATGTAATGGTTAAAATTTAAAGTAATGGTTATGAAATACTTTTATATATAAACATAATTAGTATTACAATATATAATACAAGCTAAACACATCAATATCTTTATTTTTATTGTTTTTAATGCATTTTGTGCAAATTTCAAAGTTCTGATTTTGTAACTTCCCCATGAGTACCCACTTTTTTTTTTCTGAAATCACTGCTATAAAGTCTATTAAATCAGTAGAAAAAAATATTATATTAAATATATATATATATATATATATATATATATATTTTAATATATATTTCAGTAGAAATATATATTAAATATATTAAATCAGTAGAAAAAAAAAAACTTATAAAAATCAGTGTTGATTTAGGTTACCGGTGGTTTGAAGTGAAGGCACAATTTCTTATGTTACTGTTACTGAATTGCATCTTATCAGTAAATTTCTAAAAACTTGGAAGCCTACCATTTATAGAAACTAAATTTTGTATATTCAAAATCAACTTTATCATCATGGATAAAACGCGATATATGGAAATTCATTGTCTAAGTTTTATTTTTTTTTAAGTAAGTCTAGAGTTGTATAAAAAAACTAGATGGTTTTTAAAAAATTTTTTTTAAATATATATATACAAATAGTATTGCGTTAAATTGTAATTAAAAATTTAAAAAGATTTTTTTTAAATATAGAGCTTTAAAGTACAAAACATGTTTTTGCTACTAAAGTTTTTGTTTTTGGAAAAATCAGAAGTTTCAAATGAACATATCTCATGAATCACAAAATATTTTATGCTGAAAGTTTCAGAAACTGCTTTTCTCACTGATATAATCCAACTTACCATATTTTATAAAAATCTGAGGTGCTCCTTATTAAAATCCTAAATTTTTGGTCCATTTGGTATGGAATAATCTTATTGTTATATTTTTATTTTTTTACATGTTTTGAATTTTTAGTGCATATAGCTCCTTTTATGCATTTTTTTTCTTTTCTTGTTTGAGTAACTTTTAAGTTAACATTGTATGAGGTGTATCTAAAAAAAATTTTTAAAAAACATTAAAAAAAACTAATTTAAAAAAACAACCTTTTCTTCATTGGGATTTGAAGGAACATGCAAAACGTTGCGAAGAATAACCAATAATCTTTCAAACATCAAAAGTTCATCTTCACCACGATCTTCATTATCCTTTGAAAGAAAAATTCAAAACTCTTTTTATTTAATATTTTTAAAGCTTGACTGCGATTAACTGTTTTCTACAAGATTATACCATTTTCAAGATTATACCATTATAATATTTATAATATTCAATAATAATTATAATATTTAAGATTATACCATTTGCATAATAGCACCAAGATGACTGGCAATAGCAGCAAGAACCTTTTGTTCAGTAAATGCCTAAAATTAAAGGTACTGATTTATAGTTTTATAATTAAAAAAAAAACTTTTTCATTATTTAAAATTCAATTATTTTAAAATCATCATTGAATTTTGCCTGAAAAATTATACATAAAAAATAAATACTTAAAGAAAGTTTTGTTCATTAACCTTTCAATATTTGAGCTTGTTTTGTAAACTTGCCTCTTTTTTTTATTTTTTTTTATTTTTTTTTTATTTTCTACATTTGATAAAAAGTTTTTTAATTTCATTTTTTTTTAATTTTATAAAAAATTTTAAAACAATTTTTAAAAAGATTTTTTAATTTACTCATCATAGAGTTTATTAATAAAGTTAAATAAGTTTAAAAATTTTAATTAAATATTTTAAAACGATAGTAATTACGTGATTGTGTTAGTAACTTGAAGTAGCATCAGAAATAACCTTATTTATAATATAAATATTTATACATACATATATTCTGAGCATCACCAATTTGACGTTAAGAATTTCATTGATTTTATATTTTTAGCCTATTTAAGATTTTTTATCGATAATATTTACCAAAACATTTTTAAATCAACTATTTAGACAAAGGAAATACCAAAATCAGGTGAAATATAATTGATTTTCTGTGTCGTGTATTTGACGCTGAAAAAATGCAGTGGCAGTTTTTATGTTACATATTTAAGATCTAATAGCTTCAAACTTATAAATCATTTTTTTATTAAGACTTATCAAAATCAAATTTTTATATTATAAATTTATGTATTTTTTTAAACTGTGTCTATTACCTCAAATTGCATAAAATAAAATTAAAACTTAAAAAAAGTCATGCAATGTATTTAACGTCATGTACTTGATAAGTTTTTTAATTAAAAAAATATTGCTGTTCAAGTAAATTTTATTAGTTCAAAGTTGTTTCAAGAATATTTTTTTTTCAAATTACACAAGTAGTTACATAAAAAAAGATAATATCTTATGTTTTAAAATTACTTTACTTGATTTGTCTGCATTATCAATTAAATTGTAGTTTTTAGAAATGTTTTTGATATTTTTGTACCTTTAAAAAATTATTACTATTTTTTTTTTCTGATTCACTACAAGGTTGCAAGCAACCACTACACTACAACCACTATTAAGTTGGGTGTTACTAGAAAAAAAAAAGAAGAGTTATACAGTTATAAAACGGGTGACAGAAGACATGAAAAATTGCAGATTGTATGAGTCAGGACAACATGAAGATGAGAGAGAATTCCAAAGGGTTGAAGTGTGGGGGGAAAAACTAGACAAATAAAAGTTTTTAGAGAAATACAGTAAACTGTATTTGTCCCTGTATGCAACGTATTCTGTTGGTTTTTGTATGCTCTGTATTCTGTTGGTTTTTGTTCTTTAGGACTCCTTCTTCCAGTAATGAGCTAGTTTCGCTGGAACTTTTTTCAGGCATTCTAAATAGTTTTTGCTGTTGATTTCCTGGATTTATTTCCACTAAACTAAGAAAATGCATTTCTGTTAAAATTTAATTATATCACCTACCTCCAAATTATAGAATACTAGATTTAATATTTGTTTGGACTTTTTGCAGCTTAATAAAAAATTTTGTGAAAAGTAAACAACTAAGAAAATACTTTTTTTTTTTTTTTTTTTTTAATTATTCACCTCCCCAAGACCTGAGGGGGCCACTACAGTCGAGGAGGCTACTCTTTTTTTTTGTTGTTTTTTTATTTTTTAGTTGTAAATCGTGGTACTACCTTCTCTCAACTCTTTAACTCCGAAACACGAACCTTGGCAAGCAAGGCCGCTGCGCAGAGAAATTAAGTTGAGTGCGGTACTTCCAGGGACGTGGTGGGAGTCGAACTCCGAACCTCTCGCTTACAAAGCGAGCGCTATTACCACTACACCACTACCGCATGTATACAATTTTTCATCTTTTCTGTGGTCATTTAATTAATTTACCTGTTTTCATATTTTATGCAGTCATTTAATTAATTTACCTGCTTTCATATATTCTGTTCTCATTTAATTAATTTACCTATTTAAAAGTAAACAAACTATTTTTTTTAACAATTTAAACTTTTGGATTTAAATAACTAATTTTTTTACCCATAAAATTTGTGAATTTTGTTATGGTTATAATTTTGATGTACATCATTTACACAACATCAGATTTTTTTTTTTTTTCACTATCACATATTTGAATACATCCATTTTTTTTTTCACTATCACATGTTTGAATACATCAATTTTTTTTTTTCACTATTACATATTTGATTTTTTATATTATTATAAAGTAAGTATATTTTTAATTTCAATTAACCCTAATTACTATTAACTTTTGTTTAATATCTTGTAATGGTGTACTTTTCATATAAAATTTACTCAAAAATTTAAAAAAACTGAAAGTCTTACCACATTTTTGATATCATTTCTTAGAGACGCATTTATTACGTTTTTAATGTTTTATTTAATTAACTTAATCTTAAGATATATTTTTTGATAACATAAATTTTGATAAACAACTAAAAGTATGAATCAATTTAGCCTAAATTTTGTAATACTTGTTTCAAAAAAAAGTTAATAATGTTTTTGACTTCTTGAAGTTTTTGACTTGGTCAATTTCTCGAATAATTTAATTTAAATTTCTCGAATAATTTAACAACTTTTTATCATAAATCATAAACTGCAATATATAGATAATATTTATAAGTGAAATCATGAAATTGAATTGATTTTGAAAATCCAACTTTTGGAAGTTGTGCAACTTAAAATATAAAGCATAAAACAACGTAATAAATTTTTCTTTGTAAGAGAATCACTTGAAATTAACAATGAGCCAAAAAAAAGTAGTTTCATACAAAAAAATTATAATGTGTCAAAAAATTGAAAAATAGTGCCAAACTTACTTCTTTATAAGATATAAGGTAGTTAACAACTTCAAGATAATTTGTTTGATATGAACTAGAAGGTTTTTGTTTTTCTGATACTTCTTCTGCCTCCTCTGGCTTCTTATTAAAACAAATATCAGCAGGTGATGTCAAGTTCACTAATAATCTAAACAAAATTATTTACATCTTACATTTAGTCGATTATAAATTATTTGCATTTCTTTTTTTTCACTAGAATCTAAATTATTCATGAAAAAGTACCACTACAAAATCTATAATGGAAAATGTGAGGCTAAATAAATAATTTTCAGACTAAATTTTAAAATAGCTGATTTTTATTATCCTTCAAAAGACCAAAACTATCTTTTAGGGCTTAACATGTAAGTTAGCCAACTCTAGGAGTTAGTGAAAGATCAACCCATGATAACAAAGAAGGAATGTGTCTTGATCATTCAAAATTAAAAAATAGCCATCAAAAATTTAAAATTGGCTTTTTTTTTCTACATTTATGGATTCAGCACCCTCAAAAATGGCGAGGTATAAATTTTTTATTGATACCCTCAAAAATGGCGAGGTATAATTTTTTCTTGATACTACTAGTTAAAAATTTTTAAAAATGAAATAATGACTGTCGTCATTTAATAGCCAAATCTCCTATAAATGACTTACATGTTTGTTTATGTTTGTATTTTTGTTTGTATTTGTGTGTTTAAGTGTGTGTGTGTGTGTGTGTGTGTGTGTGTGTGTGTGTGTGTGTGTGTGTGTGTGTGTGTGTGTGTGTGTGTGTGTGTGTGTGTGTGTGTGTGTGTGTGTGATGTAAAAACTTAAAAAACTAAATTATGCAAAATGTAAAAAACAGTGTTATTCAATGTCAAATAAAAATTGACAACTAAAAAACAGGAAATTTATCGTATTAAAAAAATTGTTGTATCAAAAAAATAAAATATCGTATCAAAAAAATTTTGTGATGACAACACTAAAAAAATGTAAATCATTTCTAACTAATCATTTTCTGACCTAAAGAAAAGCTCCAAAAAAAAGTTTTATTATAGCCACCAAACTATTTTGGAATATTGAGAAATAAAACAAATAAAAATGATGCATGATGGGTTAATTTGCATCACAGCTTTATACTACACAGTTTTATATATTTTATGTCTAATGTTTAATCAATTGTATTAATTCAATTGGAACATTTTTATTATGAGTAGAAAAATCTTTAACTCACATAAAAAGTAAAAAACATTTATGTTAAAATATTTTCAAACCAGAAAATACCATGAATATTAAAGATTTCTGAAAATACATTACAATAAAAAAGTAAACTGAGTTAAATGAAATGAAAAGACAAATTGAGCTTGAAATGAAAGGAAAGATACAATAGAAAGTGTTTTAAAAAAACTTACCAGGATTTGTTACCCCCAAATTGATAATATTGCAACTCCAAGAAGATAAAGTACGAAAAAATTAAAGTAAATTTGAATTTTTTGTGAGTCATCATCATGGAGAAATGTTTCATTCTGATAAGTTGATCAAACCATTAAACACCCAATTAAATGATGACTTGGTCACTCATTAGTGGCAAGGGTACTGGATGATAGCTCTTTAGAGTAGCACCCATTATAGTATTTGTAGAAAAGAGAAAAAGGAGCAACGTTAGGGCGATGGACAATGGTTGAAGTTTGGCTGCAAGTGAAGTTCTAACTCTGCTTACAATGCATTTTTGCACCTCATCTAAAAGGGAGAGAGTATTGTTCGAAATTCCACTCCAGATATGACAACAATATTCCATACAAGGACAAATTATAGATTTATAGAGATAAAATATGGAATTTGGAGTAAGAAAGTGCTGAGCACGCTAAAGAGATACATCCATAGCAGATGCTAATTTTGCAATGGATTTGATATATGGTTTCCAAAAAAGATCAGAAGTAAGAGTTGATCATAGAAGATGAAAGGTAGATGACTCATCAAGTAAATTATCGCATTCACCTTAGTCTCAACCTACATTCACCTTAGTCTCTAGTATTTTTTAGATGCAGTGTTTTTCCTAATCCATTGTCAAAATGACAAGTACTGTTTGCAGGAAGTCCTCCTTTTAACTACTCCAGAAAAGGTCAGGTTCAGGATCATCAAGATCACCTTGCTACAGGTATCATGTAATGCAGTACTACCTGCCCATGCCCTGCTGTCTTGTAGGAAGTGCTTTAAAGGCAAAGCCTAGGAGAAACAAACTCCAGCTTAAAAATCCCTTGTTTTAGGGCTCTTGGTTGAGTAAAGGCTAGAGATGGTATCTCAAAAAAAATACTCATCTTGGGCAGATGTTAACTGCATCCAGCTACTGTCTTGTAGAAGATCTCCTAGGTTAAGACTTTAGGGGTTAGCAGAATAAATCTGCTAACTAGCCTCGAACTCCTCCTTCATCTATTAGGCAGGCGCAGATAGAAACCTGAGTTACATTATTTTCTGCCTAGGATGATAAATGCTGGATCTTTTTGACTCTACTCATAGGTTTTTGCTTGTGCCTCCTTGATAGTAACTATGTAACTCTTCCTGTTATTTCTTAATGAGGGTACAGCTCTAAAACTCAGTTTAATGATTTTGAGGCTGGCTGTTTGTAAGATTTTCCAAACTCTGTAGTAGCTCTCAGAGAGGCTGACTCCATCAAAAGCTGCAAAATATCAGAGTATTAATAGTGCCATGTTGTGCTTGGATGGTGCTCCTGTTAATGTTTTTGGTGCACATTGTTGAGGCCATATAAAAGCCCTATGCTACGATTTAGGGTTAATTAACAGAACTGAGACAACTGCATAGCTCAGTCTTTTAGTTAGACTAATTTAAACTCTTTTTTCAGATCTCAGTGTTGATGGATACTATCCTTTGATTGGCAAAGACTCCAATAGTTACATGCTTGGCTTAGAGTATACATACGCATCAATTCCATTATTTGTCATGAAACCAGGTTCAAATTCTTCGACCATTCTTTTATGTGCTTCTGCTTAGTACCTCTTCAATCTATCACCTTTCTCTTTATTTATTATTGTTCCCCTTCTTCCCAAAACTGCACTCTTTTAGATTTCTTACTGAATTGACCATGTCCTCTCTCTATACCCCTCTGCCTATATTGTTGTTATTGATGACTTTAATGCTCATCACATTGAATTTCTTGGCTTTAACACCACTGACCCTGCTGGCACTAAAGTCTATAATTTCTGCATTTCTAAATTTTTCACTCATAGGGTTGAAAATACCGGATCAAAAATCCAATAAAGGTATTTTCGTATTAAAAGTTTGTAATCAATGGATTCCAGTTTTAACAATGGTATTATTATTTTTCCTATATTAGTACGAATGAATAAATTAATTATAAAATAATTTGGCAATTAAAAAAACCTAAATTTTTTATTTAAGAAATAAAAAATAAAAAATTCAGTAAAATATTAGTTATATATTGATCATAAAAAAACAAAGAAAACATAAAACTTAAAAACTCTACTTTTTTTGCAATTGGTTGCTGATATAAAACCTTAAAAAAATAGATTGTTAAGCGAATCTCCCATCCTTGACCCATTTCTGGTGCAGATTAAATCAGCTGCCGAAAAATGTCAATTCCACTGGTACAAATAATCTGGTACAAATTTTTTTCTATATTGCTCTCTCTAACTTTTCTTGTAAAGTCATAAAGTGCAGCTTTATAACGCAAGTTAGGCCACACCCAAACATTGTATCTGTAGAACAACAACAAAAATAGATTGAAAGCTTTCAATCTATTTTTAGTCTTTTTATCTAGTCTATTTCTTACCGATGTCTATTTATCAAAATTATAAGAAAATCTGTTTTCATTAACAATTCTGCATGATAATTATTAGTTTCTTGGTTTAATATATTTCTACTGTAATTCAAGACCATTTTATGAATTGTTTTATGATCCTTTGGTATGTTAGAAAAACCTCTATTTGTTATGCCATTTTTGATATCATATAATGTGCAAATAATGTTGAATGATAAACACACACTCATCTTAGCTAAAATAGCTGGAAATAAGTCATCCATTTTACCACTTTTAAAAAAGTTTTTTATAGTTACAGAAGGTTTTGATTTCTGTACAAATTTTGAAGAATCTAAAAGTGTTACTACTTACATTTCTTTTCAATAAACTGATTTCGTGAATTGTTTTTAAATGGGTATGAAGACTGCTTGTAGAGCCTCATATGTTTTAATTATTCTCTTACACAATTAGCATTTAGCACACTGCCCTGCTTTTTTTTTTTAGAAAATGAAACAATGGTAAATTTTTATAATTTGCTTTGAAATGCTCCTCAATTTCTTGAATATTCATATCGGTGTAAACCACAAATTTTTAAAAGTTTAAAACATGATAATAAAATGTATAATTCATACTCTGATTAAAAAGAAAACATTTTACTTACCGTTTAGAATCTTATATAATAATATTATAATTAAACTATTATAACAAAAATAACTATTATAGTAAAAGTAAACTAAATCATATTACAAAAATGTAATTTTGTACAATGAATTTTGTTTCAATTCATAAGATCAATTAAACTTTTAAACTTTTCATAGAAAACTAGATTATTGCGATTTTTGCATTGAGAAATAATAATGCAAATATTTTTTTTTGTAGTAAAAAATCATAAAAAACATTAAATTGTTAAAATTATATCATATTATATTTGTGAAATTATTTTGAATGGTGAAATTATTTTGAATGGTGAATTTATTTCGAATACTGAAATAACAGTATTTGCCATTTTAAATACCAGCATTTCGGCACCTCTAGAGTCAAATACTAAAGCCTATAACTTCTGCTTTTCTCGATCTCTTACTCAGATAGTTAATTTTGTGACTCGTTTTCCTGACAACCCTAATCATTTACCTTCACTCCTTGATTTATGCTTAGTCTCTGATCCTAGCTTGTGCTCAGTTATTCTCCTTTGGTGGTTCTGACGATGCAATGATCTCTTTAAACCTTTTATCTCGAACTTCATTTTCGGACTCACCCTATAATCTCACTACTTACTACTACCTTACAGCTGACTGGGATTCTTTTTGTGATTTTTCTTTGTGACGGCCCTTGGGCTGATGTCTTTTCCCTCTCAACTGAAAAATGCGCCTTCTATGTAACCTCCTGGATTCAGGCAG